CTCCAGGTAGCCCTGACTGGGTAGCTCAGTTGGTTGGAACATCGTCCTGATACACCAAGGTTGCCGGATCGCTCTCCGGTCAGGGCACATTCAAGAAGCAACCAATGAATACATACATAGGTGGAGTGACAAATCTATGTTTCTCTCTCTCTAAAATAAACAAAACAAACAAACTCCAACTGCTGACGCATGAAGTGGGAATGCTGGAAGCTCTTGTATGTTCTCTCTTCTACCAAGAGGCCTGGTCAGCCAGCATCAGGCATTTGAGCTCACCCAAGGAGGATGCCCAGCACAAGTGTTTTCCTCAGACACCAGGTGCCCACATAGGACTTTTCCTTACTCATGTGGCAGGCATCCTTCTACCTGAGAAAATGCCACAAGTGCACACTGATTCTTAAGTTCTTGTTTCTGTGATTTAAACATGTGCATGAGAAGATTTGTGAGGAGCTGGTTGGAAGGACCCTCATCCAGCTAATTGGATATAGCAGCAAACATGTTCCCAGGAATGAACAGGTCTAAGTAGAACAGAGGTGGTGGGTCAGAGGGGTGGACAGTGTTTTATTACTGGTTGCTGTGGCTCTCACACCAGACACTGAGTTTTTGTATCCAGGGGTGGCTCCTGGATGTTAAGTCAGTTTCCTGCCTCCCTTTGAATCTAGCACAACTCAAGGTGTGTTCTTAGAAGAATGTAAACGTTTGTTTGTTTGGTTTGTTTTTTAACATCCTGTCCTGATGTTAATATGAGAACATGGAGAGCAATTTTCTCATTTCCCAAAACTGGCTTTAAAGTGTGTGAATCATGGAGGTCTCTTATTTCCTTTCTTTGGCTACTACTTATTTATCTTCAGGTTTACATTTCCATGGGATGGTATGCAGGTCCTCCATGAGCTAGCAAGTCTAGTTCATGATCCTTTGGGCCATTACACCATGTTTTCTGCTCTCTAGGAGTTTATGGCCCATATTGGGAGTGAATGTGGGAGGAGGAGCTAATTAACATGAGCATTCGTTAAGGGAGTCGTCAGAAGACCTGAATTCTGGGATCAACTTGGCCGTTTAGCTCTACTGTGTGACCCCTGACAAGTCCTCCTTCTTTGGCCCTCAGTCTCCCCATCTGTACAATGGGTATATTGGCCTCGCTTATTATCAGGCCGTCTTTCAGATCTGTTATCCTAGATTATTCTGCCCTCTGTCTTTTTGTTATCTTCTCGTAGGACCCTGACAGGGTGGACAGTCAGCCAGCCTTAGATGCTGACCATTCCTTTGAGTTTTGTAGAAGTCTAGTCCCCCTTTTTCTCAAACATCCTTTGTAGATCTCATCTCCTTGTTTTGGGGACAGTTATTTATTTATTCCTTAAATTTCAGTGGTTCTCCTGCTGCCATTACAACTGTTCTCCAAACAGCATCCTCTGGGCCTTCAGTGTGGCTACTTCCATACGTCAGTCTTGCTTCATTCTCACAGCAGCCTTTCAGCGTTATGTATAAAACCCCTCGGTGCGTTTTCCACAGAGAGGTGACTACATGAAGGACCAGAGGCCAGAGGAACAGGGCCCTTTAAAAAACACTTTGTGCTAATGAATTTCAGCATTCCTAGTCAGCATCTTCCTCTTTTCAGCAGTGACAGTTACAACTTGGCATCTTCTTTCATAATTGCATAAGAGGATAACAGTCTGGACAGGCGCCCGCATGACAGTGCAGGCTGCGCTTGGGGCTGTCCGCCTCCCTGGATGGAAGGGAGTGTCCTCCTGCCCAGCCTGAAAGGGCACAGCCAGGTCAGCCTTTCCACACCGGTGCAAGGGGTCACTTAGTGCTGGAGCTGCTGCTGCTTTCCTTCCTGATCAGTTGACCTCGTTGGTGAAGTCCCTCTTGAAAAACGTGTTAGCAGCTTTTAGCAAACCTTCCTGAAAGGTGCTTTACAAATGAAGAGCTATAGAAAAATGAAAGCAGCTCAGATTACCTTGTCTTAGGGTTGTGCATGACTTTTCCAGGCTCACTCTCTGCCAGTCCCTAAAGAGCAGGGAAAGTGCTCAGGTATATTGAGGGGCTTATTGGGGTTAGGCCAGGGCTCTGCCCAAATGAAGGAGCTGTGTCCCTTCAGGAGACATCTGATACCCTGAGCTCTGCCTTCCCAGCACATTCTCTTTCTCAAGAAGCATTCTCTCTGGCAAGGGTGGTGAGACAGGTACATAGGTGGCAGTGACCCGAGGCAGGCAGCTGCTTCTGACCAGGGCCTGTCCAAGCAGGCCAGGGAAGGAGGCATTCAGGCTGCTCCTTGCAGAGTAGGATTTGGATGACCTTGAAGGACCAGAGCGTACACATAGCACGTGTGGGCTTTCAAGGAAGAACGACGGACCGAATGGACTCTCTACCGTTGGGAGTTCAGTTGTAGTGACGTTACTGTTTTCACATGGAGGACTTCCCTTAAACTCCACATTGGCCAGCATGTTGCTCTGCTTTTTGTCTATCAAGGTCTTTGGCGCTTCTGCATGCTTCTGGGTTCCCTGCGTGGATAGCATTGGAGCCAAAATCTGCCTCTTTGCAGGTCCCCTGCAGTCAGAAGGGGAATTGGGCTCTGCGGAACGAGCACACTAGGCTTTGGAGTCAAGCAGAGCTAGGTACAGATCCCAGCTCCAACACTTACTTGTTGTGGACCTTGGGCTATTTGTTTTTAACTGTTCTAAGCCCCTGTTTCTTCATCTAAACATGTTGAGTGGTTACAAGGAATAGACTATTGCCTGTGCAATGCTGGACACTTAAAAACCACTCAAAGAAAGGGTGCCTCTGTGTGGCCATCATTGATGTTATTAGAAGTACCCCCTTTTCTCATAGTCCTGACAGTGCCATCAAATGACCTCTAAACAACCTTGAGGCCTCCCCATCTCTGTTCAGATGCCCCGTGTCCACACCACTCTCTCTTTCATCAACAGAGCCTGCAGTGATGTGGTTTCTCTGCTTGGGATGATGGTGCCATCCTCTCCCAGTCTCAGAAGGGCTCTGTTCTACCTTGTGTAAGAGCTGCGTGTGGGAGCTTTGAGTGCAGGAGACAGACCCGAAGAGGAGACATGGCTGGGGGGGGGGTGCGCTGTGGGCCCCCCATTTTGACTTCTTGATAGCTACAACTCTTTCCGGGACAGTGTCCCTTGGACACAGTGTTCCTCCCCAAGGTCACCATCGGGTTCCTCTTCTCTATTCCCAGAGCCATGTCAGAGAGCAGCAGGCTCCTGGAGACCACCTGTGGCCTGTTTCTTGTCTCCACTCCTGGTTTAGGGCAGCTTTCTGGGAGGCAGCAGAATCACCACAAGGGGGTCATCGCCTTTCCTGGTTTCTAGCTTGTTACTGTTTCTAGTGCAGGCGGGAGAGCAGCAGTTTCACATTTCTGTGTGGGGCGGGCAGTGTGGAAGCCAGGCCGGCAGCAGGGTCCACACTGGCCCGGCGGGCCCATTTTCCTATACCCCTCCCCCAAGGGCTGTCTCTGGTGCCCTCTCACTTTCCTCTGGCCTGGGCAGCTGGATTCTTACCTACCGTAATTTTTTCTTTTCAGGAAACTCACGTAGGATATCAACTAATGTTTTGTTTCTGCGTCACAAAGGAAAATAGAACAAGCAACAGATGAATCAGTTTTTCTTAAATAGTAAGCTGTGATTTCTTTGTAAACTAATTTAGAGAATGGCAATTAAATTCCACACACATTCCTCAGTGTTTACTGGATTCCAAGCCCCATGCAAGGAGCAGATGGAGGCTGAGACACCAACGATAGGGTCCCTGTCTTCAGAGGGCTTCCAGGGGCAGCCTGTCCTCAGGCAGCTGCCAGGCTCTGCAGCGGGCAGGCGCGAAAAGCCTGGTGGGAAGCCCGATGCTCTGGACGGTGCTGGTACTGCGTCACCTCTCCACGCTGCCCACACAGCCGGGTCCAGCCCATGCCCCCTCTTTCGTTAAGTCTTCCTAGGTTGTCAGGCCTCAGCAAGTCTCCTGCTCTCCAAGCCCTGGATCCCTGTAGCCTCCACAGCCTGGGTAGGTGACGTTTCCCACTGTCGTCCCGTCTTCTAGGCCTCACAGCCTCACAAGGCACATTGTATCGTCTCCACTGTAACGAATGAAACAACTGAAGTTTAGAGAAGTAAACTAATTTTCACAGGATTACAGAATTCAGCTGCAGCAGAACTGGAACCTGCACTCATTTAGTCTGATTTCCGTTAGGCTTTCTCCTTGGTACCAAGTGCTTACCGTGTCTCTTCATCATTTAACCCCAAGCATCCCCTCTTTGGAGCTTCCACAGCCCCTCTTCCATTTCATGTCAGCACTAGTTCCTCTCTCCCTGTTTTTAGTCACCCGCATGTCTCTCCTTGAGGGCTAGTGTCTGGTCCTCTACTGGCACCGACAGCATCTGTGGGAGCCCAGTCAGGCTTGGTTGGGTGAAGGATGAGAGAATGAACTTGGCCGACGCCTCCCTCCCTCCTTCTTGCTCTGGAGTTATTTGGAGGCAATGGAAGCAAACAGCTCTTAAGTGCCAGCTAATTGTGAGACTCAGTTTGTCTAACTTGACACATGTTTAGGTTTCCTGAACACACTAATAAGAGCCTAAGACGATAGCAGTTCTTGCCTCTTTCTCCCATGGGTTGTATATCACCCGTGCCCCAGAGAGTAACCCCGCATGCTTCCCATTTTAAACGGGGTCCACAAAACGTGTCAGAGTGAGGCAGAGCACTGTCGGTAATTATACCAGCACAGCAGGCCGAAACGAGCGCAGGGTCACCTGGGTTTAAATGAAACGTGTGTCTGCAGTTGGAAGGAAAGATACGGGACATTTGTGTATGGAGACTTCGTCTTGCGGAGGGAGTTCTGGCAAAGGAAGGGCCTTTGTTTCCAGTGGTAACTTTGAATCTTCAGTGACAGCAAGAATAATCCGGGATCCTATTATGTACCTTCCACTTCATTTTCTATAAATAGCCGGGCCTCCCAGGATGTGTGTCTGTGTCTTATTGTTGTCTTTTTCTTTCCTCCAGAGATCCTGCGGATAATTCAGCTGGACCTAGACCTAAAGTACAAGACCAACATCCGGGAATTGTTTGAGGAGTTTGACAGTTTCCTGCCAGGCGCCGTCATTGGCATCGCAAGAGAGATGCAGCCGGTGTACAGGTGCATGGCGGCTGTGGGGCCACTCCAGCA